AGAGTGATAGAGCTTCGCTCTCCCAGAGATAACTCATCACCACTGGCACCTTCAGATGTTGGGATTAACAACATAAGAAATGGAATATTTCTGGGAAAGGAGCTGCATTCGAAGCTTGGTAGAGGAATGATTGCCTTCATAAAGGTGTGAAACTTTGGTGGTTCATATCTTGGCACTCTTTTAACAAATCCCAGACACCAAACTATGGGCTGTGCCCTGAAGACATAAGGCGATTTCAGCGGGGTGACCTGCACCCACACTACATCACCCTTCATTGTTTGAAGGAGCCTCGAGGTTATGACCCTATGTCCTTGGCAGCCTACCTTCAAATTGGACCCGTATCTCCTCGCGTTGCTTCCATTCTAGGTGCAAATGTTGACGCACTCTTCCAAGGTGATGGGGACTCACCTCCTTCTACTGTCATACTCGACTATGTCTATGGGGTTGCCGCTTACAATGCCTGGGAGAGCAAGTGTGATGGCGATTTCAAAGTAATGAAGCAATACCACGACAAACATTATAAAGGCATTCCACCTCTCCACACAGATGAACCAGAAGAACCAGATGACCCCAACGACGAAACTTACGATCCCCACCAGTCACAGAAACGCTACACTCAAGCAAGGAGGAGGGACGAGCATGAGAGTGATCTGGCGAAAGCCATGGATAGGCTCAATAGGTATGTGATGCATATCCGTGGTATCACGCCAGAAGAGGCTGCCGAGCGCAGGCAGAAAGAAATAGAGCAGGAGGAGCGGGCAGCTCAGGAAGCGAGTCGAAACAAAGTGATGGAGTGGATGGAAGATCAGGGCATCGACTGAAATGTATTCATCATGATTGCCTATCGTTTATGCACACTGTATCTCCGGGGTTGAATACTTTGACACCGGACATAAGGCAACCTCCAAGTATTTCAAGTTTCCATGTACCACGATAGATGCTCTTCCAAACGACTCGGCGTTCTTCTCGAAATCTTGGACCACAATCAAGTGGCCAGAGTAGGAAGCTGGCCTCGATCACAAAAATGGTGGTATAAACTGGTCCACGTCTTCCGAATGCCAGTGTGGAGACAGCTTGTATTTTATTTGCATCACCACTCTGCTTGAACCTCCAGCTTTGCTGCACATTTGGCATTCACGTTCGTGTGCCCGACACGATTGGCTATTCGTCATCCTTTCCGCTCGTCTCGAATTACGGACCCCGCAGACTCGACACCATATTTGTTTTGCAGCATCTTCAATGGGCGAGCGAGATTGTGCCGAGCACCCCAGAGTCGACACTCAGAGTGTTGGCTGAAGCGATGGTCAAGGACGCTCCCAGGCTCGGATACCTTAGTCTTCATTCCCAGACGGCAGAGTTTGTGCTTCCGAGACAATTACTCGATGGGGGAGCTACACAGTTACGATGATTAACACTCACCGGTGTCTCTCTGATGGCATTGCATCCATTGCTGCCATCCATGACATCGCTTAGGACCCTCGCCCTCGAGAGCTCTACCTATTTCTCGCCTGACACTCTCGTTGCACAAATACGCTCGATGGCTCAACCCCAAACACTGTCTTTCAGTTTCCTCTCCACAGCTCCACGCCCCGGTTTCAGGAACGACCGTTTCCTTCCCCTAGGACCACTCTCTCGCTTCGAGCTACCCTGGCTCATGCAGCTGATATATTGAGGCGTTTCCGCTCACATAGAAGCTCTTCTTGCACGTATACACACTCCTCTCCTACGTGACATCGATTTCACACTGTTCAACCAACTAACCCTGTGCATGTCGCGCACCAACGTGTTCTTCACCCAACTGGGGACCTTTGAGCCAACCCGGGCTCCCATCGACTTTACAGAACTCTCCGCCCGCGTGATCGTCTCCGCGTTACAGCCCACCGATTCGCCAGACATCCGAGTCCTCCTCAGCATGTCCTGCGCGCACCTCGACCTTCAGGTGTCTGCCATGACACAGATCTGCAGCGCGTCGGGAAGCGTGCTGCTGCCCGTTGAGGACCGTACGCTGTGGTACCCGCCTGTACTTCGGTTAGCACGTTCGTCGACGAGCGGGGTCGTGCCGGCCCTGTAAACGTTTAAGTAGACTATGGAGTCGATCGCGACCGGTGAGCTCGCCACCCAACCCAGGGATTTTTTTGCGTGGGCCTGATCCTTCATTCAACTGGACAGACACGGGGGGGATGCACCTTTGGCCCAAAATTCGCGGTCCTCCTCTTCACGAGAGGCGCAAAGCTGCTGGTACAGCGCTAGTGCCCGCCACGCCGCGACCTGACGTGAGCTGCCGTACCCAAGCGCCCCAAATATCTTCAGAAACACCCGCATTGCGGTCGGCGACTGCTTCAGTTTGCGAGTGAGCCATGTTTGTTCTGGAGTGGGGGCCTTTTCGTGCCGGTAAGGTTTTGTGGGGCCAGGTATTGGCTTTGGTGAGGAAGAGGATGTATATGATCGTAGTCCATGGGAAATATGTCGAATTAGAATGCGATGCGATGGCCGCAGGATGACCCGCTGCATGAAAGTCCACACGCGCTGTTCCCAGTAACCGACACTTGGTGATCAGCTCTGAGGTGAGACCGGAAACGGCCCGGTCACGGTGGTCAGACGCTCATCATGACCGAGATTGAAATATTTCTAATCTATGATGGAACCCCAAAATCCTTTCTTTTAATTCCCCAAAGTGATATACAGAGACTCGCCATCTACCCATTTCGGTGGCTACGATATGTGATGTTTGCCATTTGTGGAGCCCGTGGTGATCTTTCCACAACACCTGAAGGACCCTATGTGAACTACGACAGGACTGAATTTGCTGATGCAGAAACTAGATGTTACTATTGGCCTTCAGGTAAGCTTTCTTATTGTGTGTGAGATTGCTGCTCACGGTGTCTCGACTTCTCCAGAAGATTGTGCCTTTGTAGACCATCAAGGTTTACATGATCAATTAACATCTACCGAACAGACACCATGCCGCAGTGGTTTCAGAAGTGATGTCATGCGACGAGATGGACCTACCTGTGTTGTTACACAAGAGAGAAAAGAGCTCTGTGATGCAGCACACCTGATTCCCTGGAGCAAAGGTGATGAGGTAAAATTGTGATGGTTCATATAATTATTGGATGACATTGTTTTCCAGTACATCCTGAGAGTGATACAGCTTCGCTCTTCCAGGGATACCTCAGCACCACTGGCATCTTCAGATGTTGGGATTGACAACATTCGAAATGGGATTTCACTGCGAAAGGACCTGCATTCAAAGCTTGGTAGAGGGGCAATTGCCTTCATAAAGGTGTGAAACTTTGGTAGTTCATATTTTGGCACTGTTTTAACAAATTCTAGACACCAAATTATGGACTCCTTCCTGAACACATAAGACGACTTCAGCGAGGTGACCTGCGTGCAGACTACATCACCCTCCACTGGTTGAAGGAGCCTGACAATTAGACCCTATGAAATTGGCATACCTTCAAACCCTTCAAATTGAAAGTGCACATCCTGACTTTGACCTCGCTCTATTCCCCTCACTGTTGGAAGCTGGTGCAAATGTTGATGCACTCTTCCAAGGTGATGGGGACTCACCACCTTCTACTCTGATCCTTGACTATGTCTATGGGGTTGCTGCTTACAATGCCTGGCAGAGCAAGTTTGATGGTGATTTCGAAGTAATGAAACAATACCATGACAAACATTACAAAGGCCTTCACACAGATCCCAGTGACGAAACTTATGATCCCCACCGGTCACAGAAACACAGTCGGACAGGGAGGAGAGATGAGCGTGAGAACGATCTGGCGAAAGCCATGGATAGACTCAATAGGTATGTAATGCATATCCGTGGAATCACGCCAGAAGAGGCTGCCGAGCGTAGGCAGAAAGAAATAGAGCAGGAGGAGCGGGCAGCTCAGGAAGCGAGTCGAAACAAAGTGATGGAGTGGATGAAAGATCAGGACATCAACTGAAATGTACGTATTCATCGTGATTGCCTATCGTTTATGCACACTATATCTGCGGGCCGAGATCCTGATTATTGTCAAGTGTATGTGGGCACTAGTCAGCGCAGACGGCCTTCTGCGAGGACTCATATCGAGAGCCTCAACGCGATCAGGTAGGATGTTCCGCCTGTGAAATTGTGAAACCCGTCGTGAACGGATATATGGAGTTGCTGGTAAAGGAGACAATTACGCTATACAAAGTACTGCCACGCTACCTCGCCAGCGCGGTCGTAGAAGTACGGAACTATGTCACCCTATAGCAACACGCCGCTGACGAGACTGATGTGTATGCAGTTCGTAATGACTCATGTTTTCGCGGCTACATCAGCACTAGAAGTGCCGACACTGTCGGCTTCGACCTTGCTTGAATTTACAACGCCTTGCGCTGTCCTGGCCCGAATGGCATCTTAGGTACGGAAGTCTTACACATAGAAGCCTTCTCACGCATATACACACTCCTCTCCTACACGACGTCGATTTCACGCTGTTAACTAACTAACCTGTGCATGTCGTGCACCAACGTGTTCTTCACCCAACTGGAGACCTTGAGCCAACCCGGGCTCCCATCGACTTTACAGAATCCTCCCCCGCGTGACGTCCCGCATTACAGCCCACCGATTCGCCAGACATCCGAGTCCTCCTCAGCGTCCTGCGCGGCCTTGACCTTCAGGTGTCTGCCATGACACAGATCTGCAGCGGTCGGGAAGCATGCGCTGCCGTTGAGGACCGTACGCTATGGTACCCGCCTGTACTTCGGTTAGCACGTTCATCGACGAGGGGGTCGTGCCGGCCCTGTAAACGTTTAAGTAGACATGGAGTCGATCGCGACCGGTGAGCTCGCCACCCAACCCTTTTTTTTTTGCGTGGGCCTCCCTAATCAACAGGTATGGCTGGCATTCTCTTTTTTTTATTCCAATTCAGTTACTGAGTCTCAAAAAGCGCTGTACAATCACCCTCCCATATCAGAGGATCTGTTTACGCCGCATGGAAAAGTATCCTTCGAAAGAAAACGGTTGCGCCGAGCGGGAATCGAACCCGCGGCGGATCGACTTCAGTTGCAGGACAGAAAAGTCATGTAATATGGCAACGATCCAGGTTACCACTACCCCATCGGCGCTTAATTTAAGTAGGCAATTGATAAAGTGAAATTTCTACTTCCTCACACAAAAAATTCGATAAAACGATTCCGACTTTCTACCATTGACACCATGAGGATGACAGATTTCTGTTGCCCTGTTTTCAAGGTAGAGACTTCATATATAAACTTTCTCACAAAGAATCAACAGGATACATTTAATGGAGCATCCTGACGTCCGAAATTTGGTATCACTAATTCAGACACTTAACTTTCAATCCCATCCAGGGATGACGACGACCTTCTACCATCGGCACCATCACGACGAGAGGTTTTCTAATGATACGTGTTTCCTGGCTCTGCGGTGGTAAGCTGAATTCAAAGTTCTCGAGCAGGGTTGCGCGATAACCTGCATTTCGATTATTCTAGGGAGACCGAAATTGAGACTATCCCTGCGCGCGAGGACGAGAGATGACATACGCAAACCGCCAGCCAAGACAGCCACGAACGCCCCCCGCTGTTCAGATTTCCAGCATCTATCCACGTGGTAGATGATATAACTCACAGAAATTCGACCTTCAAAATAAAGGAGTGAGGGGATTCAAACCGTCGTGAACTACTGGACTTACAAATTTCCGAATAGTCCCACAGGGACCTGTTTCTCTTATTGACTTGGTGGAACCGCTCGGGGTTCCACTTGTCTGCGTCTTCGCCCCACACGTCAAGAAGCCTGAGTTGCGTCTTCTAGCAAGAAAGTAAAACAACTTCTCTGTGGCCCACTCACCGATTGTATGAACAAAACGACACATCAATATGTGTGCCCTTGCGTACGGGGATCATCGAGATCTGCTTGCCAGACTTCGTTGTAATTGGAAATGCGAGCGGGATGACATCATCTTGTGCGGCAACCCTTGAGCGCTGCCATACTATCGGGTGAAGTCGCATCGATTCCTACGAGAACGATTGAGCGTCAAGGACAGGAGGTGTCTAAGCGATAGCACCTTCAGGGCAGCAAGCATCGCTGACATTCCTTCGAGATCTGTTATTGAAAAGTCTCTGGCACCGATGCGTGCCCGTACGGCTGCAATCTCCTCGCGAATCTCATGTGCCGACTCAGGATGTTTAGCAAGTTCCCAAAAAAACCATGTCAGCGAGGTTGCAGAGGTATCGTGTCCAGCCAGAAGGAGTGTTCTGCGAGATGTCAAGATTCGAACAACTCATCTATTATTTAAACTTACCCAATCTGGTCAACAACCTCGCTGTCAGAGAGCCTGGTTTGTGGGTCTTCTGAATCGTTGGCGCGCAGAAGGACGCTCATGATATCCCGGCCGTCGCCCTTGATCATGCTTCTACGCACTATTCCACGTGAGACCTCACGAATACCGCCAAGGTAGTTTCGAAAGCGACGATACTCGCGTCGCGGAAGGTAGACGAAAAGGTCGAGGACAGGTTTGGGTAGGTATCGCCAGAAGGATTTGAATAGTGCATCGAGAGGACTGTGGTATAAGGAGTCGACACTGTAGGATGTGCATGTATGCCAGTGTCAGTGCTTGAGTAAATGCGTTGATGAAGACTAGAATACACTTACAAAAGGCTGGAATACATGCGTGTCACCGGATTGTGTGAATTATCCAGAGCCCCAAAGTCAAAGTCAAAACCGGCTGACTACAGCATTAGTATACAAGCGACGATTCTTATATTTGTTCCCACCCTCGCCGATGATGTCTAGTGCCGCTCTCTCGAACCATTCTGATACGTTGAGGATAGGTTCGTTGGTTCTGTCAGTGGTAATCTCATCCTTCCACTTCTGTGCAAGCTGGGGCCAAAGTGAGCCTTGTAGCTTCAAGTCTGACGATTTAGTCAGTGGGTCCTACCTTCGACGCAATAACGTGAAATTGAGGGAGAAGCGCCTTCAAATGGGACACAGAAAATGCCGTGGCCATGACTTTTCTCTGACGCCGGTGAATTTCCCCTGGAAACGTTGTTCAGAAATGAGTATCATCAAATTCATTAAGGACGTACCCTCCGTGGAGCCGATACCGTCACCAGTCAGCATTCGTAGAGAGTGCGACGCATCCGGGCTTTTCGGAAAGTTATAGCCAGATGTGAGAAGAATATACTGGAAAGCCTGGGGGTCAGCGACCATCAACCGATCCTCCTGGTGGGACTTAGTGACAAGGAAGGCACGAAGAAGTGGCACGCCTACTCCCATACACCCTCGGACCCGCCAAGCTGAGCCGTATTTACGCATCCACTTGAACTCTGATTGGCCTGTTTCTTTTTGATATACGTACTCCGGCTGATTACCTGTACAACGTTGATAAATGGTGGGTTCCATCTTTGAATCGTGAAACTGTACCCAGCCAGAAAGACTTCGATGGAGGTCCACGCAAGTCATGCAAGATCGACTTCCCACGGCGCGGATGGAAAAGGAAGATCCCCAGAAACAGTCCAAGAGGGACGATGAAGAGAAAAGCGAGAATATTTGTTCCCATGTTACTTGAAAGCACCAGGAGGGGGGAGGCGAGGTATGTGTTTGTCCGTTAAATGTCTTATGTATTGGGGGATCAGCGTCAACGGAAGAAATTGTCGGATAAATGCGCCACAGGTATGAGTAACAACAAGGCACGCAGGACGAAAATCGGTTGCCTGCATTTTCCCAGCTGCGAGCGAGGAATGATAGTATCCGCCCGAGGTCTGAAAAATACGCTGCACATGACCTACGTGGAGTAACGGGACTCGTAGAATTTCTTCCACAAATTAACTTTAAAGTTTGTCAACATTCTCATCCTGGAACGCGATTGACTTTGGCGCACAAAAAGGCGAAATGAGGTAGTGACGTGGCTTCAACAGCCCAGGAGCTCGAAAAGACAAAATGCAACGGAGCAGGAGCGATAGGCAGCGAACCAGGTAATGACAGTTACTAGCTCGGGCAAAAGCGTTTGATCCGGATTGAAGTGGTGATAGAGTAAGGGGTACTCCGACGCTCTCAAACATATGCAGGCACGGCGCGCAGCCATCTAGTGGCAACCATCTTGGGTTCACTTCCTACGATCAACAGCACAACAGCACCCGTTCCCATACTTAGAGAGTACTTGGAAAAGTCTCACGTTGAGGTGTGGCGTGATCGCAGCCAGCATATACTGGGAAGACATTGCGAAACATGGAAGTTCCTTCCATCCAGGGAGTGGATCAAATCGAAAAGGGGTTTTAAAAGTACCAGAGGAACTGAGAGGGCGAGTCACGGTATGAGGTCACGGAGGAGCCGGATGACAAGTGGTTGTAAGTTGAAGGATGGGCTATCCAATAGAAAACAGGGAAGGTCAGATAAGAATCAAGGCGTTCAATAGATGACCTGTCCGACCCGACGACGATCACGATGCTGTGTTAGTAATGTGAATCAGGAATCAAATGTGAGTGGCAGGCTCTAAGACAGTCAATATCATCAACTAATCTGGTCTAAACCTGACCGTGTGGCCCGGTCTTACCTCGGCGCACTATTTACATCTACCGGGTGGCGTGCTTGGAGTTCAACAGTGCTCAGGTCCTGAATCCCAAATCTTCCAAAAGTACTTATTTCAAGTCAAGCGCACATGCTCCAAAACTTGAGGAATCTTGGGGATGGAAGGTCGGGGTAACGTAGCGGACAACGATGGGCATACATGCGCTCTATTGGAGTTAGAACCCTAAGTCTCAGTCTGTGAATGAAAAGACTGTATTGATCTACCTATTGGAGTTAGAACCCTAAGTCTAAGTAGAGTGTAAGTTACTGAAGAATAGAGAAGTAAAGAGTGACTAACCTCAGTCTGTGAATGAAAAGACTGAGGCATGGTGGACACGGTGTCTACACTATATAAGGTATTTCAACAGAGGTGAAATTCTAGGGTAATAAAGCCATAAGGGGATGCAGAAAATGAGCTAGACGAGAACGCGGAAAGTCCTTGGGTATCGATGTCACGCGTCATGTGACGTGTGACCAGAAAGCGTTGGCTCGACTTACGCCTTGCGAGGCTGCGCTCCCAACACGCCCCCTCAGCCCGCACGGTGTACTCCCATGCTGGCCATGAAGCGGTCATGCTTTTCGCGTGGTAGCCCCTTTGTGAGTACATCAGCAACCTGGTCATTTGTAGGCATATACTTCAGAGTTATGGCTTTTAGGTCCACTTGCTGCCGAAGAAAATGGTGCCTGACATCGATGTGTTTGGTGCGATCGTGGAACTCGGGGTTCTTGGCGATTGACATGGCTGATTGGTTGTCAATGTAAAGGATAATAGGTAAGTCTTTTTCTTGATCTTTCCAGATCTCGCTGACAAGACTTTTTAGCCAAGCGGCCTCTTTTGCTGCGTGGGCGCCGGCTATATATTCGGCCTCGGTACTCGAAAGCGCAACTGTCTGTTGCTTTTTCGAGCTCCAGCTTATTGCTCCGCCGGCCAACATGAAGACGAAGCCCGACGTGGACTTGCAATCGTTCACGTCGCTGGCCCAGTCGGCGTCGACGTAACCATGGAGACGGGTACCGTCTTGGGTCCCTCGCTGGAAAACGAGACGCCGATCGCTCGTAGCTCGAAGGTATCGGAATGCGCGGTCGAGGGCTCGCAGGTGCTCGTCACCGGGGCTAGCTGCGTGGCGCCCCAGTGCGGCAACGGTGTAGGCAAGATCGGGGCGAGTCCCCAGCATGGGGTACATCAGCGCGCCGATCGCGCTCTGGTACGACTTGACGTCGGTTTCGGGTGAGTCGAGCTTGAGGAGGTGCTCATTTGGGGTCGATGGTGTGCTGATCGGTCTGCAATCGGCTTTGCCGAATCGTTCTAGGACTTCGTTTATATATTTTTCCTGCAATAGGGCGATCCAGCCGGTGTTTCGATCGCGCGTGACATGTATGCCGAGGATCCAGGTGATCTCACCTAGATCAGTCATCTGGTAAGTTTTCTTCAGCATTTCCTTGTCCTCGTTTATGATTTTAAGGCTTTTGCAGGCCATGGTTATGTCATCGACATATAGCGCGATGATGGAGAGGGTGTCGCCCCTCAAGCGGGTGAAGA